TCTAAGGGCCCCCCCAGCTCTGACATTCTGTGTTCTAAGGGCCCCCCTATCTCTGACATCCTTTGTCCTAAGGACCCTCCCAGCTCTGACATTGTGGGTTCTAAGGGCCCCCCCCATCTCTGACAGTCTGTGTGCTAAGAACCCTTCCAGCTCTGGCATTTGGAGTTCAAGATTTATAGAATCTTAGAGTTGGGAGGGACCTAAGGATCTCATACTGTCTATCTCATAGTATTGAATCTATCTCATATTCAGAAGGAATCCTCCCCACCCAGTCCCACCCCTGCCAATCTGGTTTGTGCCTGATGACTTCCAAGGAAGGGGAAGTCTTCCATATCTCTTGGAAGGGGAATCCCATTCCCTTTTTGGACAGCTCTGATTGTTAGAAGTTTTCCCAGCTTCTAGACTAAATCTGCCTCTTCCAGCTTCCTCCCTGCTCCTGGTTCTGCCCCCCAGGGCCAAATGGAAGAAGACACTTCCTCCTCTGCAGGAAAGCCCTTTGCCTCCTTGAAGACCGCCGCCACGTTCCCCTGGGCCTTCTGTCTCCAGTGAAGCACGGCCAGTTCTTTCCATCAGTAGGACTTCTTAAAGTCCCAAGGCCTCTGTCCACTCTGACGTTCTGTGCTTAAACGTCTTCACGTAGAGAGAAGGGAGTCCAGTTTCTCTTCAAGAATTAGGGCGTGTTTGGCTAACGTGGAGATATGTTTTGCCTGATTTCACACATGTAATTGACGATCGTGTTGCTTGCCTTCTCAGTGGGTGGAGAGGAGGGACAGAATTTGGAGCTCAAAATTTAAAAAGAAAAGAATGCTAAAAATGAATAAATAGCAGTTTAAACAACAAAAGGATTGGGGGCGCCATATCCTTTCTGGGCCAACATGTGCCTTTCCTCCACTCTTTCCTGAAGGTTTATAGCAGTTCCGAATTCCTGGCTGTTCAGTCAAACCTGAGCTTTTCCGACAGAAGCTGCAGTGAAGACAAGGAAGAAAGATCGGACAGGTGGGATCGGGGTGCGGCAGAGGAAGAGAAGACCCGCCCTTTGAGCACAGAAGTCAGGTGAGTGGGAGCCGATGGGAGCAGACACAGGCAGGGCCTGCCCACGACCCTGCTGCCTCTGGGCTGGGCTTTCTTCACAGCCCACGTGTGGCAGTGGGGGCCACAGCACAGGCCCAGGGGGGCAGCTTTCTGGTCCTTCTTGTCCTTCTTCCCTCTGCCACCCATTCTAGAGGCATGAGGTCAGAAGGGCACCCCTGGCATTTTACCCAGGACCCGGTGTTGCGTGGTATAGGGGCCTGCGGTCACCCACTTGGGTTTCTCCTGGTTCTCTGAAGAAGTCTCTCTGAGCCTCAATTTTTTCATCTGTAAAATGGGACAATAATCCAGGTACTGCCAAGCTCATGAGGTAGCTGTGAGGAAAGGGTCCTATACAACCCACACAGCACTGTAAAATCACGTAACAATCAAAATTGTCCAGAAATGGAACCCTGCCCATTAAGATAGTGAGTTCCCCATCAATGAAGGCGCTGGTGGCCACTTGTTGGAAATGTGATAAAGGGGATTCCTATTTACATAGATCAGGGGTTCTTAACCTTGTTGAGAACCTGGGCCCCTTTGGCAGTCAGGCTGGCGAAATTTATAGTCCCCATCTCTGAATAATGTTTCTAAATGCCTAAAATAAAATACTAAGTTTACAGAGGAAACCGTAACACTTATCGACATTTTTCCGAAACATGTCCACAGACTTCAGGTTAGGAACCCCTGACGTAAGAGTCAGAGAGACAGCTGGCTCTGTGGTACGTAGGTGACTCTCTCAGATGACAAATCAGCAAGCAGTTATTAAGCACCTGCTGTGTGCCAAACATGGTGCTAAGTGCTGAGCATCCAAAGAAAGGCAGAGGACAGCCCAGAGGAAAGATCCTCGCATTAATGGGGACCTGAAAAGGCTTCTGGCAGAAGGTGGGATCCTAGCTAAGACTTCAGGGAAAGCCAGAGGGTGCAGAGGAGGAGCAGAAATCAGGAAAAAGGAATAAGTATTTTTTTTTCACGTTAGTCATGTTGTAAGGAAGAATTAGGACCAATAGAAGGAACCACAAGAAAGAGAAAACAAAACAAAACAGGAGAAGAAAAAAGAGCAAATAGTATACTTTGATCTGCATTCAGACTCCATAGTTCTTTCTCTGGATGTGGATAGCATTTTCCATTTTTTTCATTTTCCATCATGAGACTTTGGGAGATGTCTTAGACTCTTGCTTTGCTGGGAAGGGCCAAGTCTATCAAAGTTAGTCATTGCACAGTGTGGCTGTTGCTGTGTACGACATTCACCCGGTTCTGCTCACTTCACTCAGCATCAGTCCATACAAGTCTTTCCAGGTTTTTCTGAAGTTTGCCTGCTCATCATTTCCTATAGCACAACAGTATTCCATTACATTCCTATACCACAACTTGTTCAGCCATTCCCCAACTGTTGGGCATCCCCTCAATTTCCAATTCTTTGCCACCACAGAAAGAACTGCTATGAATATTTTTGTACACGTGGGTCCTTTTCCCATTTTTATGATCTCTTTGGGATACAGCCCTAGAAGTGCTATCGCTGGGTCAAAGGGTATGCACATTTTTATTACCGTTTGGGCATAGTTCCATATCTCTCCAAAATGGTTGGATCATTTCACAACTCCACCAACAATGCATTAGTGTTCCAATTTTCCCGCATCTTCTCCAATTTTTATCATTTTCGTGTTTTGTCATGTTAGCCAATCTGATAGGTGTGATGTGGTACCTCAGAGTCGTTTTGATTTGCAGGAATAAGTATTTATTGAGCACCTGCTATGTGACAGGCACTGTACTAAGTGCTGGGGATATAAAGAGAGGCAAAAGACAGTGCCAGCCCTCGAGGAGCCCCCAGTCTAAGTGGGGAGAGAACCTGCAAACAGCTCTGTAGAAACAAGATACAGACAGGAGAAGTGGGGGGTAATCCACAGGAGAAAGGCACTCACATTAAGGAGGAATCAGAACAAGCTGGTGGGATTTCAGCTGGGAAAGCAGGAGGCGGAGACGAGGAGGGAGGGCAGCAGGGGAAGGTGCCCAGGATTGGGAGGGGCAGCTCCATCATAGCAAGGAGCAGAATGTAGGAAGACTGCAAAGGTAGGCAGGACTTTGAATGCCCTCCCTGGCAGAGAAGGGGCCATCCTGCACTGATAGCAGCCCCCACGCACAGCCAGGTCCCCAGTGTCTGGTCTCAGAAGGACTTTGGCCCCGGAGCTACCTCCGAGCTCCCTCCATCCCTTGGCCTTCCTCCCTCCAGGCTGAGGTCCTGGACATCCTCTGGCTCGCTGCGGCACTCCTCCTCCTCCTCCTCCCAGCCTGAGAGGAGCCAGAGCCCCTCATCCCTGAGCACCACCTACAGCCTGGACCCCATGCCCAAGTTTGCCTTCTCCTCCGAGGACGAAGGCTCTAGCCAGGGACCTCTGAAGCCAGAGAGGCCAATTTTCGTGTTAGGGGAACCCGAGGAACCAGTGAAAGAGACGACCAAAGCGTCTGCCCTCACAGGTGGGTGCTGACCTGGAAAACGGGTACAAGATGGGTGGGCTAGGCAAACCTCCATTCTGCTCTTTCTCCTCAATTCCCCCAAGACGAGGGGGAGGATTGCTGCCGTTTCCCATTGCGCATTTCCATTGGAGCCTCCTTACAGCCCAGAGTGGGCGGGGTTCTGCATGTCTTCCTATTCCCATTTTATAGATGGGGGAGTTGAGGCTCAGAGAGATCACCCAGCCAGCAAGTGTCAGAGGATAGAGTTGAACCCAGGGCTTCCTGACTCCAGGCCTAGCCTTCTGTCCTCTCCACCACGTGTGTGGGATGGAGGAAGGGGTCTTGGCCTTCCTAACTGATACCGCTCAGAGCACTCGGGGCCTTTCCCAGGTGCCCCAGCCTGTGCTCCGGTGCAAGGGTCCACTCATGCCAATTGTCTGTCCCCGTTGCCATACATGCAGCTGACGGTTCAAGCCTCAGCCACGTCCGATTACGGAGCAATAGCACCGGAGCAAAGAACTCCACGCCTCGAGGCCTGGAAGGCGGGGGGAGCCGGCGCCTCGGCAGCCAGAAAGAAACACCTGAGAAGCAGAAGACGTCCCCCGGCGGGGGCCGGGTGCCCAAATCGGCCTCGGTCTCAGCCCTTTCCCTCGTCATCACTTCAGGTATCACTGAGCCTGTGGACCCCATCCTGCTTCCCCACTGTCCCATCCCAGCCCGCCTTCCCCTAGCACCTGGACTCCTGCCCCTCCCTGTCTGACCACGTGGCGTGGTGGGGGAGCTCTCTGGGCTCCAAGGAATCATGGCCTCAGGTGACCTTTGTACAACACTTTGCTGCTTACAAAGATCAACTTAGCATTGGTTTTGTTCAGTCCCCAATGAGGGAGGCAGAGCACGAATTTGTGGCTTAAAGAATCAGTCTGTGGATAAACAGTCATTTTATGTGTCGGGCACTGTGCTTAGTACTGGGGATCCATAAAGAGGCAGGAAGTTCCTGCCCTCAAGGAGCTTACAATCTAACAAAAAGAAAGAAACTTATTCTACCTGGCCTCCGAGGAAAGAACCAGAAGCAGAGGGTAGAAGTTACCAAAAGAGAAACTACTTAGATTTGATGTCAGGAAAAGATTCCTAACAATACAAGCCTTCCCGGAATGGAACAGGCTACGCCGGGGTGTTGTACTGCCCCTTATTGGAGGTCTTCCAGCAGAGGCTGGGGTGGGGGGGGGCAGAGAGGTTGTAGCCAGGGTTCTTTTGGGAAGAGTCTGGGGCTTAGTTTCCCCAAGCCCCGAGGTTCCTTTCCCACCCCAAAATTCTGTGGTTCTGTGAAATCAGAGCATTTGGAATGGAAAAGAACTCAGGGATGATCTGATCCAGACCCCTCCTTTTACAATTGAGTCAGGAGTTCCTGAGAGGGGAAGTGACTCATCCCCATTTTACAGAGGAGGACCCTGAGGCTCAGGGAGACTTAAGTCGCTTGTTCCCGGGGTCACAAAATGCCTCGGTGCCCAGGCTGGGAGTCAGAGCCTCGGCCTTCTGACCGAGACGCTGTGGCTGCCTAACATCCTGCTCTGGGAACGGTATTCTGGGCTTGTGGATGAGTCATGGATGAGAAAACAAGCTCGTTCCCAGGCCGTAAAGGGCAGAATCGCTCTTTTCCTTCCTTCCCTGCTTTCCTGTTTATGTTTACTGTGGTGATAGGTCTATGTGGCATTTTCCCAAAGCAGAAGGTAATGGTAATCTCCTCCAGGGCAGGGCCTCTTCTGTTTTGTCCTCATGTCCCTGCTCGGGGTCTGGGACTGACGTTAACGAAGCCTTGTTGAATTGAATCCCCACAGATGACTGCAGTAGTGGGGCCCTCATGAGTCCCATCTCTCCCCATTCCCTCTCCTCCAACCCCTCCTCCCGGGACTCCTCCCCAAGCCGAGACTCCTCCATTGGCATCACCAACCTGCGGCCGCCCATCATCATCCACAGCTCCGGCAAGAAGTTTGGCTTTAGCCTGAGGGCCATCCGTGTCTACATGGGCGACAGCGATGTCTACACGGTGCACCACGTGGTCTGGGTGAGTCCAGAGAAGCTGGGTGCGATGGGGAACATACTAGGGGAGATTAAAATGTAGCGTGTTAGAGCTGGGAGGGCCCATAGAACAGAGAATGTCAGGGCTGGGAGGAACCTTAGAACAGAGAATGTCAGAGCTGGGAGGGCCCATAGAACCCAAAATGTCGGAGCTGGGAGGGCCCATAGAACATAGGATGTGAGGGCTGAGAGGGCCCATAGGACACAGAATGTCAGATCTGAGAGGGTCCTTAGAACAGTCAGAGCTGGGAGTCAGTAAACGTTTATTATTTATCTTCCTGCTGGTCTGGTGATTAGGATTTGGCACATTCATTGGCCACAGTTTGATTCTTGGTCAGGTAACTTTCTTGCAGCTAGGTGGTGTAGTAAATAGAACACTTACTAGCTGTGTGACCCTAGGCAAGTTACTTAACCCTGTTTGCCTCAGTTTTCTCATCTGTAAGATGAGCTGGAAAAGGAAATGGCAAAGCACTCTAGTATCTCTGCCAAGAAAACTTCAAATGAGGTCACAAGAGTCAGATACAACAGAATAACAAAACATTTATTAAGTGCCTACTGTGTGCCAGGCACTGTGCTAAGTACTGGGAAAGAAAGGTGACAGTCTCTGCCTGTCCTCAAGGAGCTCAGAATCTAATGGGGGAGAAGAGCTGCAAACAGCAATGTACAAACAAACTAAATACAAGATAAATTGGAAGTAATCCCGGTGCTCAGCACAGGGTCTGGCCGCATAGTAGGTGCTTAATGAAGTTTATTGTGTCATCAGTACCTGGGAAGAATCTTAGAGACCATCTAGTACAATTCCATTTTTGCAGAAGGAAAGTTAAGCTCCAGTTGATATAACACCTTGTGTCCAAGGTCTACTGTCATTAGTGCTGGAGCAAGGCCCAGAACCCTCATCCCCTGACTCCTGGTGTCAGGCTGTGTCTCCTGGACCATAGTTACTTTCTAAGGTGTGCATAAAACCCCTCTCTGGTAACAGCCTTTGGCACTCAAGCTACATGTGAGAAATCCAGTTCATTGCCTTGTAAAGTCATTTCAGATGTCCATGAGAAGTTATGTCTTTACTCCATATGTTATATATGCCCCAAATAGAGCCTACCCTGAATGACCAAGAAATTGAATATCAAGCTTGGAAATAACGTAGAACGTGGAATGTCAAAGCTTGCATTGACCTTAGAACATGAAATGTCAGAGCTTGCATTGACTTTAGAACATGGAATGTCAGAGCTTGCATTGACCTTAGAACATGGAATGTCAAAGCTTGCATTGACCTTAGAACATGGAATGTCAGAGCTCACATTGACCTTAGAATGTAGATGTCAAAGGTAGAAGGACCTAGCATTAGATGGAAGGGGGCTTTAAAGACCACACAGGCCAGGAGTTCATAACTTCCTTTTGTCCTTGCTGCCTTGGGGCAGTCAGTATGGTGAAGCCTGTGGACCCCTTCTCAGAATCATGTATTTAAATGCCTGAAACAAAATATATCAGCTAGCAAAGGAAACCAGAAGTTAGTGAAAATAAAGGCATAATTTTTTTTTCTCTTCCAAGTTCACGGACCTCTGGCCCTCAGGTTAAGAGTTTGAATCAATCCAGCTTCATTTTACAGCTGTGTGAGAAGTGAATATTTCTCTCTTACATTTAATAACTAATTATTGTATTAAGACCAAGGCTTTTCCCCTTTTCTTCTTCATCCAGAAACCAACCAGCGTGGGAAATATCTTTTAAAAATTTACCCAGGCCAAGATCAAATTAGACAGTAAAAGAAATTCTAAGTTTTAGGCTAATGGATATATTCTTGCACGTTTTGTTTGCTCAGACAGATTCTGAGAAAATATTTACTCTCCCTATTACCAAGACAGGTGATATGGAAATTGATGTTTCTTTGACCAAGATTTGAGTGACCTAAATCACATACCCCGACAGCCCATCTCCCATTTGAGTTGAGTAGGCATCCTTTGGGAACACCTCTTTGATGGGCATATAAACTGTGACCCTACCACCACTGGGGGTCTTTGGTCTAAGAGAGACACTGCCAAATGACCATCCTTTTATTAATAACCTGCTGGCCTTATTAATAAAATGATTAAATTACCCAGAAACTATGCCTCTCAAACTTTTTAATAATCACAGTTAGGGTAACTGAGGCCCAGAGAAAAGAAGTAATTTGCCAGGATTCTTTTTTTTTAATTAATTTATTTTAGTTTTCAACATTCACTTCTGTAAGCTTTTGAGTTCCAAATTTTCTCCCCCTCTTTCCCTCCCCCCACCTCAAGACAGCTTGCAATCTGATATGGGCTCTACATCTACATTCACATTAAACATGTTTTCACATCAGTCATGTTGTAAAGAAGTATTAGAACCAATGGGAGGAACCACGAGAAAGAAGAAACAAAACAACAAAAAAAGAGCAAATAGTATGCTTCCATCTGCATTCAGACTCCGTAGTTCTTTCTCTGGGTGTGGATAGCATTTTCCATCATGAGCCTTTTGGAGATGTCTTAGATCCTTGCATTGCTGAGAAGAGCTAAGTCTATCAAAGTCAGTCATCACACAATGTGGCTGTTACTGCTTACAATGTTCTCCTGGTTCTGCTCGCTTCACTCAATCAATTCATGCAAGTCTTTCCAGGTTTTTCTGAAGTCTACCTGCTCATCATTTCTTATAGCATAATAGTATTCCATTACATTCATATACCACAATTTGTTTAGCCATTCCTCGATTGATGGGCATCCCCTCAATTTCCAATTCTTTGCCACCACAAAAAGAACCACTATATTTTTGTACATGTGAGTCCTTTTCCCATTTGTGTGATCTCTTTGGGATACAGCCCTAGAAGTGCTGTTGCTGGGTCAAAGGGTATGCATTGTTTTATAGTTCTTTGCGCATAGTTCCAAATTGCTCTCCAGAATGGTTGGATCACTTCACAACTCCACCAACAATGCATTAGTGTCCCAATTTTCCCACATCTTCTCCAACATTTGTCATTTTCCTGTTTTGTCATGTTAGCCAATCTAATAGGTGTGATGTGGTACCTCAGAGTTGTTTTAGTTTGCATATTCTACATCAATAGTGATTTAGAACATTTTTTCATATGATTATAGATAGCTTTAATTTCCTCATCTGAAAACTGATTATGGCCTTTGACCATTTATCAGTTGGGGAATGAGTTGTATTCTCATAAATTTGACTCAGTTCTCTATATATTTTAGAAATGAGGCCTTTATCAGAGACACTGGCTATAAAATTGTTTCCCAGTTTTCTCCTTCCCTTCTAATCTTGGTTGCATTGACTTTGTTTGTACAAAAACTTTTCAGTTTAATGTAATCAAAATCATCCATTTTGCATTTCATAATGTTCCCTCTCTCTCTTGTTTGGTCATAAATTCTTCCCTTCTCCATAACTCTGGCAGGTAACTTACTCCTTGCTTTCCCAGTTTGCTTATAGTATCAGTCTTTATATCTAAATCATGTACCCATTTTGAGTTTATCTTGGCATATGGTGTAAGATGTTGGTCTATGCCTAGTTTCTGCCATATTTGCCAAGATTTTGCAGTGAATTTAGTATTAAGCACTTATTAAATGCCTACTGTGTGCCAGGCACTGTGCTAAGTACCAGAGGGTACAAAGAAAGGCAAAATCCAGTCCCTGCTGTCAAGGAGCTCTCAGTCTAATGGGGGAGACAGTGTGTGAACAGCTGTGTACAAACAAGAGCCGCACAAGGTAGATTGGAAATGATTTCAGAGAGAAGGCCCTGAGGTTGAGATGGTGGCCATCAGAACTGGAGACCAGGCAGGTTTAATTCAGTTCAGCGAGCATTTGTTACGTGTCTGTGTGTAAGGCATGGTGCCATCCCTGGGCAGACAAAGGCAAAAGAGCTCTCACTGGGCTGGGTCTCCTGCCTCTTTTGTCTGCATTTTGCTAGGTAAGGCAGTGTTCCTGCAGGCATCCTCCCGTCCTTCCCGAGAAAGTCTTTAACGGGGTTGCTTTGGGTCGCTAACAGCCCCTCTTTCCTTCAGAGCGTGGAGGAAGGGAGCCCTGCTCATGAGGCTGGACTGCGGGCGGGAGACCTCATCACACACATCAACGGAGAGTCTGTGCTTGGACTGGTTCACATGGACGTCGTGGAGCTGCTGCTGAAGGTATCCACCGCCCACACACCTGTGAGGCCCAGGGCCTCCCGCTGGACTCTGGGGACTCTAAGGCCAAGGGCGCTTGGGATCAAATGGGGGCAGGCCTAGGCACATGAAGAAGTGACTGAGAGGAGTGCCGCAGGCAGGTGGAGGCAGAACACTGTGAGAAACAGGATCACTTCACGTGGGATGAGAAGGAGCCAAGGAAGGGGGCCTAGAGGAAGCAGCATCTCGATAAGCTGTGGAGGGACAGCAGAAGAAGGGAGGGGGCAGGACTCCATGCCAGGAAGGTAGTCCCATGGGCAGAGGCGTGGAGAGAGCAGGACAAGAGTGGGAGGAGGGTGGAGAGGAATGCGGATGATGGAAGGTGGGAGTGGGGCCCTGAATGCCAGAGTCAGGAGCTGGCTATCAGCCACACTTCAGCCTTTGTAATCTGTCCTCCAGAGCAACAGTAAGATCTCCCTTAGAACCACCGCCCTGGAGAACACCTCCATCAAGGTTGGCCCAGCCCGGAAACACAGCAACAAAGGCCGCATGGCCCGCCGGAGCAAGAAGAGCAGGAAACGGGAGAATCAGGACAGGTGCGTGCTGGGCGAGGGCCGGCGAACAGCCTGCAGTGAGGCACCTGGGGGGCGGGGGATGGGGCGCTGGACGGGGAGTACTTCTAGAGAAGCCTTCCCAGCTCTGAGATCCTCTCTCATTTATCTGTATCTTGTTTCCTGTAGATGTTTGTGTGTCATCTGCCCCGTTAGACTGGAAACGCCTTGAGGGCAGGGCCTATTTTTTTGGCTTTTGTTTGTTTGTTTTTATCTTTTTTTAAATCCTCAGTGCTTATCACTTTAACTGAGCCCTGTTAAAGACCTTACTTAGCTTGAAAAGGCCAAAGTCCCCCACTGCTTCCTGGGCCATCCCCAGTCTCCTGATCTGAGTCTGGACACTGGACCCACATGGCTCCAGAGGAGAAAGTGAGGCTGGTGACTTTGCACAGCCCTGCCTCACTATAATCCAATTTATTTGCAAGTCATGGCATCACCTCCCTGATGTCTCTCTGTCTGTCTGTCTTTCTTTCCTTCATTCCTACCTTCTTCCTTTTTTCTCTCTCCACATAGGGTATCATAATCCTACGGGTGCTCTGCCCAAAGGGAATGTGAATTTTAATCTCTGAAACTTTTTTTCTTGTTTCATTTTTTCTCTTAAAGACCAGCCTTAACCCCAATTTGCTCTGGTCCCACAGCCCTGCCTCGCTTAAATCCAGTTCACTTGCATGTCATGGCATCACCTCCCTGATGTCACGGTCCTCTTCAAGGACTAAGGACAAACAGCAAGCAACCTGGAGTCAGGAGGTCTGAGTTCAAATTCTGCCTCAGACATTAGCTGTGTGGTCCTGGCCAAGTCAGCCTCAGTTTCCTCTGTAAAAGGGGAGTGATACTAGTAGCACCACCTCCGTGGTTGTCATGAGGATTAAATGAAATAAAATATGCAGAGCTCCTTGCAAACCTTCCAGCTCTATGTTGTGCTAGTCTTATTATAGGTCCGTCCCACATCTCTCAAGGTATTAGGACCACGCTTAGGTCTGAGCAGGGTTTGTAATATTTGGAGACCTGAAGGCACAGAGTTCCTAGATCTTGGGAGAAGTCACTTCCCCTGTTTGGGCCTCAGTTTCCCCAACTGTTAAAAAAAACCAGGTCGGGGAGATTTTTAAGGTATTTTCTAGTTTATAGCCTGTGTTCTGTGGCCCTCTTACTCTAGTGACCAAGCTTCAGGAAGGTGAGGGGTCCCAAGACCTTGCTCTGTATGGCTCAACTTAGGGAATTGGGGATGTTTGCCTGTGGGCAGCTAAGTGGTGTGGTAGATAGAGCACTGGGCCTTGAGTCAGGAAGACCTGGGTTGAGATCTGGCCTTAGACCCGTGCTAGCTGTGTGACCCAGGACAAGTCATTTAACCTTGTTTGCCTCAGTTTTCTCATTGATCAAATTAGCTGGAGAAGGAAATGGCAAACCACTCCAGTATCTTTGCCAAGAAGACCCTAGATGGGGTCACAGAGGGTCCAACACTACTGAAACAATTGAACAACAAATTACATTCCTTAACTTGTATAATCTTCAGGTGTGCATGTTGTACTAGGCCACTAGGGGGAGCCATAGCGCACACAGCATCAGACCTGGAGTCAGGAAGACCTGAGTTCAAATCCAGCCATAGACACTTAGTAGCTGTGTGACCCTGGACAAATCACTTCACCTCTGTCTACCTCAGTTTCCTCATCTGTAAAGGGGATAATTACAGCACCTACCTCTCCCAGGGCTGTTGTGAGGATCAAATGAAATTTTATTTATATATATATATATATTTTTTTTTTTGTGAGGGCAATTGGGGTTATGATATTTTTAAAGTGCTCAGCACAGTTACCTGCTGGAGTAGGTGATATAGAAATGGTAGCTGTTATTATTATAGGTATTCAGATAAGGAAACTGAGGCTCAGAGATGTCAAATGGTTTGCTTGTAGTCGCAAACATAGCCAGTGAGTGTGGAAGGTAGGATTCAAACCTGTTCTCACCTAACTCCCAATCCACTGCCGGTACTTCCCATGATGCCACTCTGCAAACTAGGGGTTTCTCCCCTTTGTTGTATCTGGGGCCCCTTTGGCAGTCAGTCTGGGGAAGCCTGCGAATGGACCCCTCCTCATAATAAGATTTCTAAATAATTGAAGGAAATGGCACATTTCAAGGAGAGGTTAGTGACAGTAAAGGTGTCTTAACTTCACCGATTCTCCTGAAATCTGTCCGTCATCTGTGGACCCCGAGTTAAGACCTCTGCTCTAAACTGTCTGTGTGTCCTTTGATTTTCACACCAAAAAACGCCTGGAAGGGACCTTGCAAAGTAATCCAGTCCAGTCTGCCTCCTTCCCTGCTTTATTTTCTGCACAAAAGACTTCCTTATGGGGTTTCTCAGAGCGAGGAGGGTGTTGGGAGGAACAGGGAGAGTAATTTCATAAGCTCTAAAAAGAAATGAGGAATCTGTGGTTTTAAAGCTATGGGTCTTGCTCAAAATAAATCTCTGGCAGAAGTTTGGAGCAGGGCAGGGGCCCTGATTCCCCAGGCACTGTTGGCTAACCCAGCAGGGCCATTTATGGTGCCGCCGCCAGGCTGTCTGGGATGACCCTGCACCGTCCCAGACTGCTGAGAACCATCCTCCTCCAGAGGAGACAGCTGTGCCCAGGCGTCCCCCAGAATGTCACCTAGATTCCTTCCACTGCCTCTGAGCATTGAAGGCTGCCTGCCTTGGAACTTGTTGCATAATCACACAGAAAATAACAGATTTTTTCAACACTTCAAACTAGGGGATGATGTCATTTAAAATAATTTACATTCAGAGATTTGCCCTATCATGATGTAAAATGATACATTCAGAGATAGGCCTAAGAACTCCGAGGGTCAGGGATAGGCCCTTTAGAGTATCAAAGCTGGGAGGGCTTTTAGAACCCAGAATGTCATAGCTGGGAGAGCCCTTAGAACTCAGAATGTCAGAGCTGGGAGGACCTAAGAAAACAGAACGTCAGAGCTTGAGAGCCCTTAGAACAGAGAATGGCAGAACTGGGAGAGCCCTTAGAACCCAGAAAGGCAGAGCTTGGAGGGCTCTTAGAACACAGGATATCAGAGCTAGGAAGAACGTTAAAATATAAAATATTAGAGTGAGAAAGACCCTTAGAACACAGAATAAAGACTGTCAGGGCTCAAAGGGACCTTTTTACAGTGCCAGGTCAGAGTGCACTTAGTACAAAGAACATAGAATGTTGGAGCTTAGAGACTGTCTTGTTTTGGGGTTCTTAGAGATTTTAGGATGGAAAAAATTAAATTACATCTTTATTTTCACTACCTTTTGGTTTCTTTTACAATCCTGTGGATTTAATTTTATGCCTTTAAAGTCACTCTTAGAACTGATCAATCCATCCCTGGACTTCCTCAGACCACCAGAGGGACTCACATCACAAAGTTTAAGAACCTCCGAAACAAATGAGGAAACTGAGGCCCAGAGAGGGAGAGGGACTTAGGACAGTCACCCATGTTCTGGCTTTCACAATCCCCACGTCCATTCCAGTTTGAGCTGGGGCTTATTTCTTACTCTCTGACATGGGCACATTGTTTGTTCTTCTCTGCCTTTGAAGGAGGAAGTCTCTCTTTAAAAAGATCTCCAAGCAGTCAACGATGCTGCACACGAGTCGAAGTTTCTCTTCTGGGCTCCACCACTCCCTGTCTTCCAGTGAGAGCCTTCCTGGCTCTCCTACCCACAGCCTGTCCCCCGGACCAGCCACCCCCTGCCGCAGCCCTGCTCCTGATGCCCCGCCAGGTACCAAGCGATTCTTTCTTGTTTCCCTGGTGGTGTCTGGGAAGGAGGGAAGGATGCTCACTGGACTTGGGGCCTACCTGGTGTTTGGGACCATGTCTTCTCTTTCTGTTTATTTGCCAGTTTAATCAGTGTGTTCTGTTAGTGTGAAAATCTTTGTTAAACTCCAGATTGAGGTGGGTGGTTAGCTCTTACTAGCAGCATGCTTCTGGGCTCTGAGGATGCTTGCCTTCCTGAGCACCTTGATCAATTCTGCCTTTTTCTTTTAAATTCATTTGCATGGGTCTTGTGGCATAGATTGGATTCTCCCATATGCCAGCATGGAATTTAATATCATCCATACAAACATTTATCAAGTACCTACACTATGATTCAGGCTCTATGCTAAGCACTGAGGATACAAAGAAAGGCAAAAGATAGGCCCTGCCCTCAGAGAGCTTACAATCTAACGACAACATGCAAAACAACTATATGCAAGCAAGCTATAGACAGAAGAAACTGGAAATAATCCACAGAGAGAAAGCCTAGGAAGCCAGGAGGCAGAGATGAGCTGGAGATGGGAAAAAAGTTGACAGATTTATTTTCACTAAAGCTGTAACTGAAATTCCCCAAATCCTAATTTTCTTCTGTTATTTCAAAACCTTATTCTGAGAGTCATTTCCTAGGCCTCGCCAGGCTGACCAAGAGGCCTTGAAACAATTAAGAATTAAGAACCTCTGCCCTTGTCCGACCCAGACCCAAATAAGAATCTCCCCCACAACAGGGCCAACAGGTGGTTTGCCTGCCTTTACTTGGAGACCTTCTGTATTTTTTCTTTTTTTTGAATCCCCAGTGCTTAGCATGGTGCTGGGTACACAGTAGGTGCCAAATAGATGCTAATCCATTAACTCTAGGTAACCCAGTCAACTTTGGCATAGTTTTAAGAAGGTAATTTATCCTTCTCTCTTCCCCTATCCCCTAAATCTTTAATTCCTTTAACCGATTATTATGATACCATCCCAACCTCTTCCATCATCCATCATTTCAGCCTCCAATTTTTCTACAACACTTTCACATTTTCAGTGTTCTTCCTAAAACGAGGCATCTGGCACACAACATGACTATCTCTAGATGTCGTCTGACCAGGGCAGAGTACAGTAGGCCTGACTGATCCTTCCTTGTTCTTCCAATGGTAATTCTGGCAAGACCTGAATCCGGAGCCCACAACAAGGTGGATGGATGGGACCTTCCACATTGGCCTCATCTCCAGTGCCTGCTAATTGGCAAGATTCAGAGATTTTGTCCAAGTCATAGCTATTCAGAAGCCAATGGCCCAGCAGCAAACCAGTACAACCTGTGTATGTCAGAGGGAGGATTGGAACTCAGGTGTTCATGACTCCAAGGCTGACCCCCCCCCACCCCCCACTCCAACATGGTGCCTCTCACAAGCCATCCTAGTTCATCTTATAAGGGTAATAAGCAAGACAGCAGGTGATTGGCTTTGTCACTCCATATTTTGGGGTGGTGTACTTGTTACCATGGGTTGCCAAGCACTTAAGTGCAAAATAATTTGTTTCACTCCTGGAATTCGGATTTTCATTGCATACCATTTGAATTAGGCCATTTGATTTCTTTCTTTTTTTTTTTAAATTACATTTTTTTTAATTAGTAAGTATTTATCATCTCTCCCTCCTGCCTTCCCCCTATTAAAAAAAAAAAGAAAAACCCTTGTAACCAGCATGCCTAGTTGAACAAAAAAGATTCCCACTGTGACCACGTCCAAAAATGTGAGTCTTGTTCTGCACCCCGAGTCTGCCATCTAGGACTGCATCCTCCATCAGGTTCTCTGGAGTCCGGGCTGGTCCGTGCAGCGATCAGAATTCTTAAGTCTTTCAGTGTTGTTTGTTTTCACAATGCTGTTGTCAGATACATTGTTCTGCTGGCTCGGCTCACATCACTTTACAGCCGTTTCTCTGAAAATGTCATTTTCCTCATTTCTTAAAGTATAACAATATTCCTTTCCGTAATTCCTCAGGAGTTTTCTTAGTAGTACTTAGCTGCACTCCTTGCCATAATTTGTTCAGCCATCCCCCAGTTGAGGGCACCCCCAGACGGTAGCATTCTTTGCCACCACGAAAAGAGCTGCTGTACACATGATTCTTTTCTGGGGTGCATTTAGGGCAGTCCTTGTTTCTGGACCAGTTTTGACAAATCCTGTTGGCTGCTGTTCACAGACCGCCTCCCCCGTCCTCTGTCCTCTTGATGCTCCATTCTGTGTTCATGCATCACCCTCCCCACCAACAGTGTCAGCGTATGGCCCCTTTTGTATCTTAAACTCTACTCCAGCTCCTATCAGTCAATCAGTCAATACACATCTATTAAGTGCCTGCTGTGTGCCAAGCAGCGCGAATTACTGGCCTGTCCTTCACACCCCAGGTCCCAGGGTAGACGGAGGCAGCAAGCAGAGGCAGCTTAGAGGCGGATGGGGTAGCGGTGGCTTCAATGCCTGCTTCTTCTCCTTACTGCCCTTCAGTCTTCAGACAAGTAAATCCAGTCCAAGGAGCCGGGGTTTTTTGTTTGTTTGTTTGTTTTTGTTTTTTGGCTAGGCAATTGGGCTTAAGTGACTTGCCCAGGGTCACACAGCTAGTGAGTATCATGTGTCTGAGGTTGGATTTGAACTCAGGTCCTCTTGACTCTGGTGCTCTGTCCACTGCACCACCTAGCTGCCCCTTCAACGAGCATTTATTATGCGCCACGCTCTGGAGTAGGTGCTGGGGGCGGAGCAACAAAATGAAAAATAGCCCCTAGTTTCAAGGAGATTCCATTCTACTGTGGGATACAATACGCAGGACAGATGATTATCTGGATGATGTTTTGAGGAGAGGACTAGTAGCTAGGGACAATTGGGGAAAGCATCTTGTAGGGTGCAGTACATGAGCTGAACACTGAAGGCCACTAGGGGGCGCAGCGGTTGGAGCTCTGGACTTGAAGTCAAAAAGATTTGAGTTCTAATGCTGCCCAGACGCTTTCTAGCTAAGGAAACCCTTCTGCCTCAGTTTCCTCATTTGTGAAATGGAGACAGTCATAGCACCTCCCTCTCCCAGGCTTCTTCTGAGGGTGAGGCAATTTTTGCAATGCTCCTTACAAACTGTTTAATGCCATGTGAATGTTAGTGATGATGATGGCCATTGAAGGAAGCTAGGGATTTTTCAGAAGCAGGGCTGGAGACGGAATGCGTTCTTGGCACAGTCAGAAAACAAATCTAGAGAGAGAGTGGGGAACAGCAGGTAGAGAGCCATTCATTCGAAACCTGGAGCGCATCCCGGGGATTCTTGGGGCAGTGGAGCCAAACACATAGGCCCGGGCCAGAAGACGAAGGACTTTCAGAGGCACTAGGGAGCCACCGACTATTCCTGAGGTCTCCTTAGTTTTCTGGGCCTTGGGTTCATCCATGCAATGAAGGGGTGGGACTAGATCAGGGATGGGGAACCTGTGGCCTTGAGGCCACGTGGCCTTCTAGATCCTCACGTGTGGCCCTATGACCAAATCCAAAATAATCCCGGGAGTTTTCTGTGAAACTGAGCATAAACTGAGCGCAAACCTTCAGGGGAAAAAATGGTCATTCAGTGAAATAGAGGACTTTCAAGCATTGTTGATGAAAAGATCAGAGCTGAATAGAAAATTTGACTTTCAGATACAAGACTCAAGAGAAACATGAAGAAGTAAACAGAAAAGAGAAATCATAAGAGACTTATTAAGGTTGAACTGTTTACATTCCTGCATGGAAAGATATTTGTAACTCATGAGTCCTTTGTCAGTATTAGGGTAGTGGGAGGGAAAAAAATTATATGTGTGTATAGATAGATAGGTAGATAGATAGATGGCACAGCTTGAGGTGAAGATGAAGGGGTGATATCTGGAGAATAAAATTAAGAGATGAGAGGATTATACTGGGAAAAGGAGAAAGGGAGAGGTAGAATGGGGTAAATTATCTCACATAAAACAGACAAGAAAAGGCTTTTACAGTGGAGGGGAAACGGGGAAGGTGAGAGGGAATGAGTGAATCTTATTCTCATCAGATTTGGCTTAAGGAGGGAATAACATACACAATGGGGTGTGAAAATCTATCTTACTCTACAGAAAATAGGGGGGAAGGGGACGAGAGAGCAGGGGGATGATAGAGGAGGGCAGATTGGGGGAGGGGATAATCAAAAGCAAACACTTCTGAGGAGGGACAGGGTCAAAAGAGAGAATAGAATAAATGGGGAACGGGGTAGGATGAAGGGAAATATACTTAGTTCTCCACAACATAACTACTGTGGAAGTATTTTGCGTGACTACACATCTATAACCTGTATTGAGCTGCTTGCCTTCTCAATAGGGGTGGGTGGGGAGGAAGGAAGGGGGAAAATTTGTAACCCAAAATTTTAAAAACAAAAGTTAAAAAAAATTGTTTTCACATGCCACTGGGAAATAAGATATACAGGAAATGGGGTATAGAACTCTGTCCTGCCCTACAGGAAAATAGAAGGGGAAGGGGATAAGATAAGGGGGGAGAGATAGAAGGGAGGGCAGATTAGAAGTATTCAGAATGCATGCCATCTGGGGCTGGGGGGAGGGATGAAATGAGGAGAAAATTTGGCACTCAAAATCTTGTGGAAGTGAATGTTGAAAACTAAAAATAAATTAATTAAAAAAAAAAGAAAGTTTGGCTTCAGTCATAGGACCCGCTTGAGGACCTAGAAGGCCCATGGCCTCGAGGCCGCAGGTTCCCCACCCTGGTCTAGATTATCTCTCAGGTCATGTCTAGCTCTAAATCTGTGATCCTAACTTAGAACCTCTCCAGAAGCAGCTTGGTGGTACAGTGGATAGATTGAGTGCCAGGCCTGAAGTTAGGACCTGAATTCAAATCCAGCCTCAAGACACTTGCTAGCTATGTGACCCTGGACAACTCCCTTTACCTCTATCTGCCTCGGGTTCCTCATCTGGAAAATGGGGATAAGAAAAACACCTCTGTCCCAGAGGGAGGTTGTGAGGATTAATAGATAATAGTTGAAAAGCACTTAGCACAGTGCCCAGCATGTAGTAGGTGCTTCATAAATCCTTCCTCCCAAAGGATGTCTCTCACTTGTCCAAGGCCACCCTGTTCATTCACACATCTGCTGTCGCTCCCACTCATTCTTGAGTCATGGTGACAAAATCACCACGTCCAGGCGACCCACCCTCCTGAGGTCTAACCCGTCCATATCGCTCCAAAGGGCTCAGCTTGGGTTCGTCAGGGGAAAGGCACGAGAAGGAAGGTTTGCTTGGGAGGTATTCCGGCTCTCCAGAACACCAGGTGGATTGCATGGGAAGCCTTGCCTCAAGGGAGGAAGGGTCCCTTCACTCCAGCGAGGCTCAGAACATACCCTGGGTCGCTGCCTTGACTTGGTAGCCTGGGTAGTTGGCGGAGAGTTGAGTCTTGGCTTGGGTTCCCACTTTTAGTGTTTCTCGCTTTTCAGATACTGCATCTCCACAGAGCACTTCGCCGTCCTCCAGCACTCCCACCTCCCCAGCGGGCCACATCCGGCCTAGCTCCCTGCATGGGCTGGCCTCCAAGCTGGGGGCCCCGCGATATAAAGTCGGTCGCCGGAAGTCAACGAGCAGCATCCCTCCATCCCCGCTGGCCTGTACTCCCTCCCCGGGACCCCAGCCCCCGTCACCGCAGAGATCTCCATCTCCTTTACCAGGTTACCCCAAAAACCTCTATGCCTTCCAGGGTAAGACCTTGTCCCCCCCGATGATCACCAGGCAGACTTCTCGGCCGCGGAGTGCCGAGACCCCCCGATCTCCTCTCCTGAAGCGAGGGCAGTCTGCTGACAAAATTGCCCCCTCCTTGGTGGAAAAGAAGCCATTGGGGGGCCGTAAGCTCACCCTTGAAATGCCGGCAGGAGACGGGGATGGCCTCGAGGAGACATCCATGCAGGCCGTCTCAGGGGCCGGCAGCGGTGGTCCCGGAGACCACGGCCGGGCGAGCCGGGGGAGAGACTGGGCCGCAGACCGTCAGGAGCGGGATCAGGAGGTCGTGGTCATGCGGCGCCTGAACCTCTCAGAGCGCCGAGACTCGTTCAAAAAACAAGAGGCTGTCCAGGAGGTGAGCTTTGATGAACCCGAGCCCGGGGGCTTGGGGGACGAGGGCTCCTGCAGGCAGGAGGGCCAGGCGGAGCCGAGGGGGCCCGTCCCCCAGATCGCTGTGCAGGGCTTGGAGGGCGAGGTGCACGAGCCAGGCTCGGCAGAGTGGGAATGTCAGGGCTCTTATCCTCCCCTCCAGCTGCTGGCCAAGGTCTACACCGAGCAGACGGACGGGACCAAGGCAGTCGAGTACAAGAGTCTCTCATCCCAGCGGCGGAATAGCAGGGACCTCCGGGACTTGGGCTCGGGGCAGCAGCCCCCCAGGGCGGGCCGAGCCCTTCGGGGCCCCCTGCAGGCCACCAAGTCTCTGCCCATCCTTCAGCTCTCGGGAGGCCAGGAGCGGGCAGGACCTGACCCTCGAGCTCCCCGAGCCAGTCCCAGAGATGCGAAGAAGAAGGACGGGGACCGGCGCTAGAAGCCACGCCCGAGGTGGGAAGTCACAGGAAGCGGAGCCTGCCCACCTATCCCATCGGGGCTTCCAGGCCTCCGCGCCCCGGCGAGGACCCCCCCCCCCACCCCTGCCCATCCCACCCACTCTGCATCTGCCTCTCAGATCTGAGTCAAGTCGATGCATGCGTCCTCGTGACAGGGTGCGGGAGAAAGGAAACTCGCCACCTTCCAAAAGCCACGAACCTCAGGAAGAGCAAGCCTTCAGGATGTGCCCGTTTGGGAGGGGGAAACAAAAAAGCAGAAAACACCAGACCCAGTGCAAGGAAACCACGGACCTGAACACAAACCACCACCACAAGTTTTTTTTTCTATGAACTGGAAAGAAGTCTCCTTATTTTTGTAGCGTGCAGGTGCTGTGGGTGAGAGAAGGCCTTTCCTCGGCCGGTCGGGCACTTTTGTAAATAGCCGCGGAGGCAGATCCCTACAATTAATTTATTACTTTTATAAGCTAAGATGAGACTTGAGCACAGAGCTTCCGTGAAGGCACCTTGACCCAGGGGTGCTGTTTCCTCACCCACGTGTGAGAAACCCTCTGGATCACTCCTGTCCGGGGCTTTTCTATTTTTTTGGGTGGGAGGGGGGAGGGTTTGGTTTTTAACTCTGGCCTCAAACAGTAGCGTTGTCCCAGTGCCCAGGGGCCCAGCGAGGGCTCATGGTGCCCCACATCTGGCTGTGACGGAGTTGGGGAAGGGCTGGATGCTGCACAGCTGTCTCCGTCCCGCTGTCACCCACCTGCTGTAGGCGAGAGGGGAAGGGGGTTCTTTCTGCTGAAGTCAGAAATCTGTTCCCCGGTCCTGCTCAAGGGTGGGTGGAAGGTCTGTCTAGCCAAAGGTGTTTGGATCAGGCTGTATGATTCAGATGCAATAGAACAACCCCCTGCCCCCCTAAAAAGCACCCAGTTTTCTCTTTTGGTGAGATGCCCACCCACCCCACCCCCAGTCCCATCCACATGTACACTTGCAGCAGAAATGGCAGAACTGCAAACTTCCCCTAAACTGTTTGTCACGGACTGTAGCTGCTAATTGCAGGCCCCTTCTCTATGTTCAGTGACCTTAAAGAAGGAAAGGTTAGGGCTAGAAGGATTCTCTTCTCTCCTTCCTCTCCACCTCACCACCCAAACCAACCCTGCATGTTTACTGTAAACCAGCACTTTGGGAGAGCCCTGGGGATATCTCCTGCCAAAACACAAGTTCTCATGGGATGTCAGAATTGGGATGTGATTTCCCCGGACAGTTTTAGAGTCACTGAATAATGTCAGAGCTGGGAGAGCCCTTAGGACACAGGATGTCAGAGCTGGGAGGGCCCTTAGGACACAGGATGTCAGAGCAGGGAGGGCCCTTAGGACACAGAATGGCAGAGGTGGGAGGGCCCTTAGGACACAGAATGGCAGGGCTGGGAGGATCCTTAGAACACAGGATGTCAGAACTGGGAGGGCCCTTAGAACACAGGATGGCAGAACTCAGAGCTGAGAATGTTAGAGGTGATGTAACTTGCCCGAAGCCATGTAGTGGTAGAATTGGTCCTAGAACCTGACTAGAACTCTGTCTTCCAACCCTGGGAACCGTTCCCTCCCCCAGCACTGCCCCATTGCTGCCGGAAGCCAGCTGGGAATTCCCCTGTGCTTTGTTTTTCTCCAGGTCACCCCTGCAAACTCCCTGCATCAGCATTCCCCCCTCTTTGGATCCTTTGGGGCATGGGGCTTCTGCTCTTTGTCTCTGGTCTCACTCACTGGTTTCAACCTGTGTTTCAAGTGTCTATACTTCCAACCATCTTCCTGTGGAGAAAAAAAGTCATAGGGACCTCTGGGAATGAGACCGCAGTCCTATAACTTACCGCGTTCTTATTCCAAGATCCAAGTCACTGTCCTCTTTAAATCACCTAGCATACCTTTGTTGACACCTTTCCTGACCCATCTTGTCTGGGCCGGAGGGGTATTTTAAGTCTGGTATGAGGTGGGACCAGCAGGGAGAAGCCAGACTCCCTGTGAAATGCAGTCGGTCCTCCTCTGAAGGGTGAGAGCAGAGATTTCCATCCCCAGAGGAGGCTTCTCTTCCTGTAGGCTGGCTCATAGGAGACTGCATTCCTGAGCTGGGCTTTTCCCCATCATCCCGGCCCAGCCAGAGGGAGAAGGCCAGATTTTGTTCTCTCCTCTTGCTTCTAGGGAGTCAAGCCTGCCTCGTGATAGCATTGATTACACTCCAGCAGGGAGTGGGCCCTCAAAACCTCGACTGAAGACGTGGAATTTCCACCATCCAGGATGTTAAGATTGTGGATTAGCTCTTTGGGTGGTTGTTTTTAAACTGTTTGAGACTTATTTGCGGGGTCTAAAGGGCCTGAAATTCCTTGACAAATGTAGTTTACTTGGGAGTGTAGGGTAGTAAACAGAAAGTCAAGAAGGCCCGGGCCTTTCCTGGCTCCATGACCTCAGTTTCCTCATCTGGGGAATGAGAGGAGTGGGCTTGATGGGCTCTAAGACCCTTCCAGCTCCAAATCTAGTCCTGTGATCCTCCGTGCAGGCAGCCCCTCCATCAACATCGGTAACTGCCCCTTTTATTAGACAATGTTGTAGCTAAAAAATGGGTCATCTTGGGGCAGCTAGGTGGTGCAGTGGATAGAGCACCGGTCCTGGATTCAGGAGGACCTGAGCTCAAATCTGGCCTCAGACACATAACACGTAGTAGCTGTGTGACCCTGGGCAAGTCACCTAACCCCATTGCCTAGCCCCCCCCCCCAAAAAATGGGTCATCTTATGGCCAGCCTTAAGGTAACGACAGACCCATAGTCTACCAACCCAGCCTTTTCAGCCTGTTAGCACCTGCAGACCCCAGGGTCACTCCTGCACCAGGAGGTTCTTACTGAATCAGCTCACTGGGGGAGAACCAAGGATATCCCTTCTTTGGGCCCACCAGTTTAAACCTCTTGGTTCCAAAGGGAACAATTGGGAAGGAGTAGACTTTGACCCTGTTAAGGTTAGGAGATTCATCTTTACTTAATAGAACCACTGGCATTTATTAAGCACTTGTGTCCCTAAATTCATAAATAGTGAAACTAGTCCCTGCCCTCTGGGAGCTTCCATTCTTCTGAAATAAACTCAGGTTTTTGTATGAGCTCATGGCCCCAAGCCCTGAGTTCTCTCCCCTCGTAGCCCAAAGGAAAAGGCTGTTGAATGTTAAGCTTTCGTTTTCTGGAATAGGAATGTTCAGAAAAAAAAATTGGGGGGAGGGCCAAGGTAAGGGGTAACCATGTATAAATTTCCCAGTCAAATAGATTTTTGCCTTTTTAACATCTTTTTCAGTTCCTTTGCCCTTGGCCCCTATTTGAGCTTGAGGACATGGGTTCTGCCCTCTTTAATTATCTATATTCAGAAAATGCTTTAAAATAATGTGATTTCCTATCTGTTTTCTCAGCAGCAGGGGAGTAGATGGAAGAAGTTTCCCTTCTCCCTTCCAATTTGACATTTTACTTCCCACGATGTAAAGCATCAGTGGGGGTTTCCCCCGTGGTCCTTAGTGGACAGTTTCCCCAGGTGCTGGAGTCAAGTCTCTCCATGCTTCCCCAAACCACAGTCCGTCCCTAGGCCCATAGTCAAAGGCAGGGGTGGGGAATCTTCAGCCTTCAGGCTGCATGTGGCCTTCTAGATCCTTAAGTGTGGCATTTGGATTCAGTCAAAAGGTGGCACTTCAGGATCTAGGCCACCTGCAGCCTTCACCACCCCTGGTCACCCCTGGTTTTCCCAGTGGCTAGGGCCTAGAAGAGCTGAAACTCCGCTGATACAACCCATGGTCAGTCTCGGTGACACCCATGAGGAATGACCTTGCTTCCTTGAATGATCAGTCCTATTTTAGCCTAACTTATTCCCATATTTTCACCATTTGCGTATGTCCATCTGAGGTCATGGTTTTGTTGGCTCCCTCCTTGGATTTTGTCTCCTACAAATTCCCAGTCCCCACCCCTCACCCCCATTGCTGTTCCTCCTCCTAGAAGCTAGCCTAGTGCCTGGCGCATAGTAGGTGTTTAATAAAAGAAAAATCCCAATGACCTGGCGAGAGCTTTCCTGATGGGCTCTGCACAAGGTCCCAAGTTAACTCAGCAATTGTTTACTGAATCATTTATTAAACACCCACGTAGAAGCTCGGAAGTGGGTCAGAGATGAGCATAAAAGGCATTCATGGATCTCATGATGCAACTGAGGTCAGCAAAGAATATCTGCTCCCCATAAGCACCCAGGGCTGAGTCAGGAGGCTGGGACTCCAGGCCATGGTTTCTCCCCCCCTTTTTTTGTATGTGGTCCCCTTTGGTGTTCTGGTGAAACCTGCAGCTCCCTTCTCAGAATCATGTTTTCAAATAATTGAAGGAAATGGGGCAACTAGGTAGCACAGTGGATAGAGCACTGGCCCTGGAGTCAGGAGGACCTGAGTTCAAATCTGGCCTCAGACCTTTACTGTCTGTGTGACCCTGGGCAAGTCACTTAACCCCAATTGCCTCCCCCCAAAAAAATAGAAAAAAATGTCAGGTTTCCATTAAAGGTTAGTGAAAATAAAGATGTCATTTTGTTCCCATCCATGTTTGCAGATCCCCCGATGTGTGTCCACAGACTCCTTGGGGTGGGGGTGGGGCGTGTCTGTGGACCCCAGGTTAAGAACTGCTCCAGAACCAGTTCTGCTCTCACCTTACCATGGGACCTTTGGCCAGTCACTTTCTTTCCCCGGGCTTCGAGTTCCCTCCCCTGTAATACAAAGGGACTGGATAAGCCCGGCAATTCTTAACCCCTTGTGTGTGTCCCAACACCCCTTTCTGAGAATCACGTTTTTAAATGCCTAAAACAAAACACAGGATTACAAACAAAACTTAACATTGAAGTGTAGCTATCAAAAAACTAAATTTTTAAGTGTTCGAAGATGACAGATTAAGAACCCCTCATTTAACTGATGTCTTGATGGCCCAGTGGATAAAGGCTGGGCCTGAAGTCAGGAAGACCTGAGTTCAAATCCCACCTCAGACACTTAACTGGCTTTGTGACTCCAGGCAAGTCACTTCACCTCTGTTTGCCTCAGTTTCCTTATCTGTAAAAGGGGATAATAGCAGCACCTACCTTGAAGGGTTGTAGTGAGGATCAAATGAGATAATATTTGTAAAGTGTTTAGCACAGTGCCTGGCACCTGGTAGGTGCTTTATTCCCTTCTCACCAGAGAGGGCCCTCTTAGGGTCAGTCTTCCACTATGATGATATCTGCTGTAAATTTGTTTGAATTATGGAATGGCAGACCTGGAAGGGAGGACCTTAGAATACACATAGAACAGAAGGAACCTTAGAATATTGAATATTAAAACTGGCAAAGAGAGGTCAGAGTTGGGAGGAATCTTAAAAAGGATTCTCTGAGCTGAAATTGTTGACGTGTTCCCTGTCTTGAGAGGGCTTTAGGCAAAGACGAGGTGACCGCTTCTCGGTGTTACTGTAGGGGAGATTCCAGTGAAGCCTGAGGATCTTAGCTTGGAGATTCTGAAAGGGAGCTCATGGCCCAGTTGATCCATTTTTCGGGAGACTTCCCCAAGGCCATACCACGCAGCCAGTGGTAAAGTCGGGACTGGCCTTCTGGCTCCTGGTGGGTTAGTCCTGTCTTCCTGCTTCTCTTATCATGCTGACATCTCTTTTAAAAAAGGCCCACCCCTCTTCTGAGAACAGACAAAACCGAAAGCAGCAGTAACAAGGAAAGAAATCTGTTTTCCAGCAACATTGGGCTTGGATTGGGGCAAGATGTCCATCTCCAAAACTGAAAAACGTGGGTGCACATGCTAGGGTCTTAAGGACCATCTGTAGTACAAGTTTATGACAAAGCCAGGAGTGGTGTCCCATACTTGGAATCTCTGCTACTGGAGAAGCTCAGGATTCCAAGCTGCAGCAGTCTAAGTCTGGCATTAATTTGGGGAGCCCCTGGGAGTGAGGAGCCACCAGGCCACCTAAGGGGTGAACTGGCTCAGACAGGAAACAGCAGGTTGGAGCACCCCTCTGATCGGCAGTGGGGTCAGGCCTGGGAGTGAGAGACTGGACCTCAAAAAAAAAAAAGTTTATGATGAAGGCATGT